GTAATTTTGTAGTGAGCTGCAGATGTACAGATGTACATACATATCTATGCACATTAGGGTGTGCTCAGTTTTTTAACTTTGACCCACTAAGCAAGACTCTCTTCGATGAGTTAATTTGGTCATAAAAATGCGAAACACGTGCCTCAGGAGTTCTAAACTTATGCGAAGAAAAGGCTTTATAACAACCCAACAAGCATTTCAGTAAACGTTTTTAAAAATAACTTAAATTAAGTTTGCTATAATAAGCGTTAAATAAGCATTTTTAATATTAAGCTTATTAAAAGTTTTTTCAAATAAACCTTTAATAAGTTTTGAGAGCGAATGTTTATAAATAACTTAAACTTATAAATGAAATGTAAATGCCAACGACATGAAGTAGTTAATATAAAATTTTTTCAATCGTAAGAGACGTGTTTACGTTTTTTTAAAATATATTATTAAAAGAAAAAATTAAATAAAACCGATGTGGTAAAAAAAGTCCAATCCAGGACCCGCGCTAATCAGTGGAGCATTCGAGTCTTCATATGATAAGTTCCCCTTATCCTTTCTTAATTTAACATTCAATTAAAAATGTATTGAATTTTTTTCAGAAAAGTTCATCAATGAGAATGGCGGCGATAAAGCGGAATATATAGCTGCATCGATGTCGCTTTTCCAATTTGCCAATAAGCGCAAGTAATTGAAAGCACGCAACAAGATGTAATAATTAACTTTTTTATGCTTAATTTTTGTGTGTTATCGTGAATTTGTATGCTAAAATGTTTATTCCCTATTTATATTTTCGCGACTGTAGATGAGTCCGTCGAAAATTCGCATTTCGTTTAGTTTCTAGATGTTAAGCAATCTATGTATGAGTTTTTAATGAAATATCTTTAAATAAAGGGTTATAAAAATGTTTATGAAAAGCTTTCTTTTGAAAATGTTTAGTAAGTTTATATTCATACGCTTATAAAAAAACTTTTTTTGGACCTTTATTATAAGTTTACACTTTTACGCTTATAAAAAGCTTTCTTTTGAACATTTATTACAAGTTTATATTTCAACGCTTATAACCAATGTTCCTTTTCGATTATATTACGCTTACTTTCAAGCGTTTTATAAACAAGAAAGCAATGTTTTGTAAGCTTAATGTTTATAATTGAAAACTTAAAAAAAACTTTCTTTAAGTTTATTTTGCTTGTTGGGAACCAAATCTGACGAGACATGAAAATGGGGAAATTTTGGGATCAGCATGCCAAAATCCATTGATTGATATGAAAAAAATAAACCTTTGTACTGAGTTATAAGCTGTTTTCCTACTTTATGTAAAATTTAATAAAGTAGCTTTTGAGGCACATCTTTGCTTTATCCTATTTTGACAATTTTTCTCAATGCACATTTTTATGACCAAATAAACCTTAATTTTTCGCCTATCAGCTTAAGCAAAGCCGAATGGAGCAAAGTCAATTTTTCCCTACTCCAAAGTACATATGTATGTACATATATGTTAAATACGTGTGTATTGCACGTGTGTGTGTTTGCCCGAATTTAAATAATGTTATGCATATCTCCGCATTCAATTTGTATGTTTATATTTACATATTGTATGTATGTAAGTTTAAATATTATGCTAAGTATATAGCAATATTTCAAAAAATCTGCTTATGACCCTTAAGTTGTCGAAGTTGATATGTGCAATGTTAAGATAATTTGATTACTGGAACAAATGTGAAACTGTGGTAAATGTGTCGAAAAATTGAATGGTTGGCATAACATTTCTGGGCACATACTTGAATACGTACATATGTTATGGTAAACTGTGCTAACGTGGGTTCGGAACAGTGTGACCACTTTGTGAGTAATTCCTCAAAACGTGAGGAATTTCGGGTGCGCTTGAGTATTTTTTGCGGATTTTTATTTTGGGGAATTTTTGAGGAATTTTCTCTCGATATATTGGCAGATAACAAATGCAACCATGTTTTTCACAACAGAGTTGTTAAATCGCTCTGCAAATTTTTGAACAAAAAGCTTTCCGAAGTTTTATAAAGAGCGAAATACACAACACAAGCGACTTGTCAAACATTCTTTAAACATGCAAACATGACTCATTCAAGCAAACAGTTTTAGTTTTCTTCCGGTTCGCAATGTAAAAGAGTTTAGTTTTCTTCGATTTTTCTGTCTTGCATCCTCATTCGGTGAAAATTCGGTTGCGAATGAGGCGATTTTACCATACACAACGTAAGGGGTTTGATCAAACGTAAATATGGCGGCCATAAAATCAGAAAATTTTGATTTTTTTAACATTTCAACACAACATAAATAGCTTTAAGCAAAGGGATATTACGCTTGCTTTGTCAAGCCGTTTGTGTGGTGTTTTTCGCACTTAAGCACATCTGCATTTGCTGCTAAATATTCAAAATATTATCGATAATTTTTTTCATTCCATCGTTATATGTATTTTCAACATATTTTGAACTTGCAAAATCTCGATAACGAATGGAGAGAACACGCATTGTTCGATCATAACAACATTCATATTGATTTTTCAGTAGATCCAGAAAATTATAGGAAAGAAGTTTTTGAATTAAAATATTCTTCAGGTTCATATACACAAGTTTCCCAATTAAAAAAAAATTATATCTGCATTACTTATATAGCCCTTTTCTATTGCTTCAGTAGAACGTATATTTAGTAGTTAAAAAATGTGTAGGACTGACTTGAGGACCAGATTAACCACTGATATAGTTGAAATAATATTATATACAAACCAAGGCATAAAAAGTAACGGTGATACTTTGTTTGAGCCGCAAGAACAAATGTACCAATTGAATTGGAGAATGTAATTAATTCTTATACTAAGTACCTGTAAAGCATACTCATATCTGTAATAAGAAAATTTTGAGTAATTTGTTAGGATTTTGAGGATTTTTCATTTGTTTTTGAGGAATTTGGTAATTTTTTTGTGGCAACACTGGTTCAGAATTAAATATAAGCGAGACAATGTTGTTGAACAGCCCAGTCGGAAAGGTAGTAATGCATTACATGCGTGATAAATAATATAATGTATTTCTTATGAGTTCTCGATAATATTACTGCTAACTATGTAATTAGCATTCTAATGTATTCAAAAAGTTCCAAAAATTTCATATTGAAAAATTTAATGCCCCACTTTTCTTAAGACATCGCCTTGGAGAAAAAAATGCATTTTCGAATGTGGAAAAGGTTCGATTACTATACATTACATTTTCCCACTGGGTAGTAGCATCGACGTAGGGGTTATGGCTTAGGAAATCTTATGTGAAAATTAACTTCCTAAATTTTAATACCACTCTAATGTACATATGTATGTATTTTCTACAATGTGTTTTGATATTTTTGAATACGATATTTTTTTAAAAACACGCGATTGGATTCCGAATATGTTAAACTTTAGAAATTTAAAATAAAAGCTTAAAATTAAGAAGTTTAACTGTGAGAGAAAACTTTTTTTTCTAATATGTACTCGGATGTTTGATTATAATATTCATCTGGCGGTTGTAAAACAACTTTTTAGATATTTCTTATTTGATATGCGTGAAACATTAGTCCGAATTTTAGTGCTCTTACCAAGTAGGGTTGTCCTTTATCCTATACCTATACTAAATAAAAAAAAACAGCGATATATTTTTTTGGTATAGAACAATCCTAGGGGGTGAGAGCATTACAATTCCGACATTACTATGTTTTTTTTTTTTACCACCCTAATGTACATACATATCTGTGGACTTTTGACAAAACAACTCTATGCTTTCGGTAGGTTGGAATTTTGAGGTAATTATAAGGAACTTCCTTTTAAAAAATTTCACATTTTTATTTAACTTTCATTAAGATAGCATCTAGAACTAGAGAAAATTATCTCGCTCGAGAGGAGTTGTGTTATCAAACATATGTACATACATATGTAAGTATGTGTGCACACAATTTTCTAAAAAAATTCTTAGCGCATTCGTGCTCTAGTTTTTTCCTAGTGTGTATGTATGTATGTACATTTGTATTTGTAAAGTCATGCAGACAACGATAATTAAATTATTTTACTTGCTAATTTTAAAGGCATGCGTTGAAAAATAAGTCAACATTTTAAAGTGGCCAATAGACACTCTAAATCGAATAGTAAGAGATATAGAACGGAGATTGTAGAAAGTACATATGTGCATATCTGCACTTAAATTTTAAATGCATTTTTTAGTATTTCATATCTTATTTTTTTTATAAACACAAAAATTACAAAAAAAAGAATAACACAGGAAAACCCACCATCGAAGGTTACTAGCCCATTTATTATTTTGGATTTTCTTTTGCTGGCATGCCAATTGAGTCAAGAGCACCACGAGCGTAAATAAAAATCTTAACAATAAATAAAAGCGAAAATTTACACCTTCAAAAAGTGTCAGACACTGCACTACGTAGCTTTGCATAAATAAACTAAAAAAAAAAAGAAAAACAAATGAGACACGCTAGCGTTGATGCGCTGCTGCTTATGTCGTTGCTGCAGCAGCAATCAAAGCTAAGCGACCAAAAGATTTACGACAGCTGCTCAGTATGCTGTCACTGACATTCATGCAACCAGCAAGAGCCAAAAACAAAAACAATAACAGCGCTGACTTCGGCATTGCAGTACTTTTTGGACTTGACTTTGACGTAGGGGTGGCACGCAACGGGCGACTGCAGACGAACGATGAGTACCGTTATGCAGGCAAACAAGTGCAGAACTAATAATTTTTAGATTTATGTTATGAGTATTTTAAAGTGAAAAGTATAAGCAGAAAATAGAAAAATAATAATTCTTGTAAAACAAAATTAATTTGTACATAAGTTTGAAAAAAATTGAATAGTTATATTTTATATATTGCTTTTAAAAAGGATAAATAATAATTTTAAGAATAGGTGGAAAATTAAAATATTCCTAACTATTTTTTTATACACTTTTATAAAGAAATTAAAATTAATTGCAATCATTTTTCTCTCTTTTTTTAGGTCGGCGACACTATTTTTAAAATCTTCAAAGAAACAATAAAATTACGAGCACTTTAAAAGTAAATTAATTTCCCTCAAAATAACAAACAACGATAAAATCCCCAAAGTACTTCAATGAATTATAACAAAAACAACAACAGCGGCAAGAAGAAAACCAAAAGCTGAAAGAGAAAAAATACCTTAAAAATAAAAAAACAAACAGCCACAAGAAGACAGAGTTGATAAAGAATTCTCCCCAAAAAAAAGTAGATAAAAAAACAGCCATAAACGATTACAAAAACTGCATGCAATAACAACTACAACAAGAATACGCTTAAAATTCAAACAAAAAAAAAAACACCGACAAATTGAAGCCACAACCGGAACATACACCAAAAAAGTAATTTTGCCATAAAAAAGTCAACATTTTAAGCAAAATCCAAAACCAATAAAAAACAAAAGTGTAGCGCTGAAAAACGTGCAGTCACAAAAAGCAAGCGATTAAATTTGCATTAACTGCGGGCGTAACAAGTAACAGCAACAACAACAACAGCCATTAAAGCAAATAGAACCAAGCAGCGGCGTGCAAAAAGCGAAGCGCACGCAAAGGATCAGTAACCAATAACAACAACAACAGCAATAACACAAAAATAACACGTTCATTATAATTAAATTATCACGACGCGATTAAAATAACAACAACAACATCAAGATATCAACGTCCCCATAATTACGGCAAGAACAGCAACAACAACAACAGTAACAACCAGCGCAAATTTTAAACGTTGACAACGCTGCATACATTAAACATACATCCTACCTACATATATACATACATACATAAATAAGTACGTCTGCGGCAGCAGCAATAGCTGGGCACATTGCAAATAAATATCCATACTTGCGTTAAAATACCCTACAACAACAACCAAACAATTATAATAACAACAAAGCAACAAAATGCATATAGAAATTCAAGTGGCATTAAATTTCGTGATTTCGTATTTGTATAATAAACTGCCAAGGCGACGTGTGAATATTTTCGGAGAGGAACTCGAAAAGGCATTGAAGGATAAGTTCCAAGGACATTGGTACCCAGAGAAGCCATTCAAGGTGAGTACGTAACTGATGATTAGATTAAATTAGACTAGCGAGGAAGTATCCGTTTCAAAACAGTTAAAGATTCACAGGTACAGGCTTACGTACTTATATATACATAGTAGAAGAAGGCTAAGCTAGACTTACATACATAAGTAACTGCCAGCATCCTTGGTTCGTTGTAATTTGGAAAAAAAATTCGTCTTTCTTTGGTCGAACCTGGGGGTAGACTTTGATTCGGCTGCAGGTCCAATGAGCCGAGGTGTTTCTCTCGTCTTCTCGCCACGGCATCGCATTCGATAATTATGTGCCCAGAAGTCTCAGCTGCATTATCATTATATTGCCGGCATATTGTATTGTTGGACCATATCCCGAGTTTATGTAGCTTCTCAATCTGTAATAACCTGTTAAGATGTCTGTTACGATTGTTATACTTTGGGAGGTTAATAAGTTGTTCATATCTTTTCCTACTGTATCCTACCAGTAACTTCCTTTCCTGTCGCAGCCCAATGGCTTGCTTCCAGTGCTGTTATCTGCTAGTTCTCTCTTCTCTCCTAAGCTCTTCTCTGATGGTATGTGGTATTACCATAAAGAACATCTCGGGGCCCATTGGTGTTGTTGCTACCGCTCTTCTGGCAAGCGCGTCTCTCCTTAGGCCTTAATGATTTCCGCTAAGGCGTTTAGCCTCTTGACGCACTCAAGAAATATTTCGGACTTGATTTCATAAGAAACAAGGGCTATGCAGCCTTGCAGTACTCACATTACTTTCTTTGAAGGCTTATCTCTGCACATGTACTAATGGCGTGAACCTGCGCTTGGAATATACTTGGAAATCTACCCATGGTAACTGAGACAGAGAGCTTAAAACCTTGGTTATCTATATCCCATAATTAGCTAAGGCTGGACGATCGCTTCTGGAATGGCATTGAATATCGAGAAAAGTCCTTAGGGCGAGTTCCTTAAATCGTGGGGCCTTATCGAAGTCGGTGTCAATTCGGGACCACAGTAGGTTAGCAAAAAATAGCAAGGCGGATGAGTTGGTTTTACTGAGTAAAGAGAGAGTACTTCCACTTTTGACATCACGTGGACTTCTCTTGGACTTCAAGAAAGGTATAAGCGCTTCTTAGGTTCATAAAGTTTCATCTATATAATTTAATGAATTCTCGATAGGACATTGTCTGATTTAACTTCACGGGGTGAATATAAATATCGCATCTGATCCACATGGAACAAATCTCTACAGGACACTTGTTTATATTCTCGCAAAACTTCGCAACTCCTCTAATTTGTTCAACTTTTACAGGGTTGACTCGCACTTCTTAAACAGCTCTCTTGGATGGGTATCAAACAGCTGTAAAACCACGTTTTAGGCACACAGAGCTTTTACCGATAGCTTAGCGGTTACCCAAAAGTCTATAGCAAACGCAACTGTTTAGTTTCCATATTAACATTACTTATTGGATGTTTTAATACTTACGCACCTTTATTGAAAAAAAAACAATATCCCCATAGGTCAATAATTAAATTTTCCTCTTCTCATCTGCAGGGTTCCGCATTTCGTTGTTTAAAAACTGGTGACCCGATTGACTCGGTTTTGGAGCGCGCAGCCCGTGAGAGTGGCGTACCAATTGCTGATATTTTAGAAAATTTGCCAGCTGAGCTCTCGGTATGGGTGGATCCTGGTGAGGTGTCATATCGTATTGGCGAAAAGGGTGCTGTGAAGGTAAGTGGCGTCAATTGATCTCAACCACGCACATGGACTCATTAGTATCTAATATACTTCGACTTTTCGCTCCAGATTCTCTACTCGGAAAATAGCGACAATCATGAAGACAACACATCGGCCGATCGCGAGGTCAATAAGACTTTTAACCCTGAAGCGCAATGCTTCCGGCCCATCGATGCGGTTAATACGAGCATGAATAGTTTGAGCCTGAGTCCGAAGACATCTCCGCATGCGGGTTCTTCACCGCATTCGGCTTCCTCCAATTCGCCCACTTACAAGGGCAGTCCCAATCCCGCTGTGGCGGCCAATGGCTCATTTATGCAGCGTACACAAGCGCCACTAACATTCACCACAGCCACCTTTGCGCAGACGAAATTCGGCAGCACGAAATTGAAAACCAGTTCCAAACGTACCAATAGGTTGGTACTAATAACATACGCACAAATGCGAAAGCATTCAACTAATTTTTTATTCTCTTCTAATACACATTTCAGCAGCAGTTCGTATCGCATGTCGCCCACAGAATTCTCCAATTACATTAAACAACGTGCCATGCAACAACAACAGCAACTACATCACGGCGGCCATGGTGGACCGAATGTAGCGCAGCCACCGAATCACTTCGGTCCGATCGGACCCGTCTCCCCAGCACGCTCACTCTCACCGAATCCACTCTCGCTTGGCCTGGGACAGAATGGTGCCACCGCCGATCCCTTCTACTTCCCCAACATGGCCTCAATGGGCATGTATCCACAATTCAATGGACATCGAAATGTCTTCGACGCGCATTTCCATGCTGCCGAAAATAATGGGCTGTATGCTGGTAACGCTGGCGGCGCCGCCAACAACCCACCCAACGGCGGTCATGGCAAATTCAACAACTACTTAGATCCACATGGCTTCTATGGAGTGGGCGGCGGTAATCAGCATTTGCAACAATCAGCTGCAGCCGCTGCCGCCGCCGCTGCTGCTGCTGCAGCTGCCGCAGCAGCTCATCAGCAGCAACAACAGCATCAACAATCGTCATTGGCGCCACCGCCAGGCGTTATTGGTTCTGCATTGGCAGCGCAACAGCAGCATCAACAACAACAAGCAAATGGCAAAGCCAAAAATGGCCTTGATAAGAACGCAGTTGACAGCGCCAATGGCGGCAACAACAACAACAACAGCAATAATGGCATTACCGTAACTGTTACGAATGGCGTCAGCGCCGAAGCAACAAACAAAGCCACCAACAATGCAGCCAAGAGCGCTGTCGCCGCTGCAGCATCCTCTGCAGTTAGTCCGTCGCCATTAGCTGCAGCAGCTGCTGCTGCCGTAGCAGCCAGCGCTGCCGCCGCCGCAGCTGCCAATAGCAATAACCAACAGCAACAACAACAAGACTCAAACAACTCGAAACTTATCGATGGTCTCAATTCGTTCTATTCCAATGCAGCTGGACCCTACCAGCAGTTGCTGGTGGCCAATTAAGGCGTTTCGAATTGCTGGCAGAGCGCATGAAAGGGGGCGAGGGAGAGATAGGGCGAAAGATAGGCGGTGGAAAGTGCTGTGAGAAGGAAGATCGACTAGAAGGAAGAATAGCATATTTTTTTAAAAGCTTATTTTTTAGAACTATTGCAAAGACGTGAAAATAATACTACTACAAATATGTATTTGTATGTATAAAAACAAAAAATTTAGCAAATTGATAAATGATATATGTATATGTATGTATGTAGATAGTCGAGCGAGAGGCAGCAAGCGTGCGGAGCAAAGCGCAATTTTTTTTTTAAGGAAGAAAAACTAGCTAAATATAAAAAGCAACTAAATACATCAACAAATCTTGTAGTAAAAACATACATACAAGTACGGAAAAACTTACATACATATGTACATAGTATGTAGCACGTAAATGCAAAAACCAATACATCTGCATGTGTAAGCATAAATATATTAGCAAAAAGCTGATATAGCTGAAACCAAATTATATGTATTAAAACAAAAACAACAAATGCAAGAGTAGAAGTGAAGAAAAACTAAAACAGTGCATACATACATACAAACATAGGAGTATAATATGCGCTTTGCAATCGAACAGGCTAAAGGAGGGGAGATTTTGTAATTATATATATATATATATATATATGTACTACGTGTTGGAGCATAAGGCGGGCACTGGAAATGCAAAAAAGCGCTATTTTTTAGAAATAAATTAGGCAAGGATATCTAACCTACAAGTAAAACACTATCAGCATAGTATAAAAAATTCAAGTCGTTTTTTTATTAACTAGTTGTAATCGATAAAAAAAAGAAAATGGAAATAGAAATAGAAATAGAAAAACAAAAATAAAAAAGAGACATACATATGTAGAAGAAGAAAAGGAAGAAGTAGAAGAAACAATATAACAATTGCAGAACAATTGCAATATACGCAAATAAAGTCTTATATATTATAATAAGTTTTAAAATTAGTCAAAAGTGAAATTCGTTTGCTGTTTTTTATACCCACACATTTTTCTAATATTCAAATGTTGTATTATGTAAGATAAAGAAGAAAACAATGAGAGAAAATGTTAAATGTTTTATATATGTATATTATATTGTATAAATACTTATTACTATTATATTTCTATTATTATTATTGCTACATATTATTGTAACTAAACAAAAGTAAAACGAAAAAAAATCTAGTGAAAAAAGTTGTAAGAAAACCAACCGCAGTACTTTAGTCAACGCTTAAATACGCATGCAAATACATGTATACATACGAATGAATGTGTGTGTGTGTGTGTGTGTGTGTATACACAAGCACATTATAATCCCCATAAAAGTCAATAACATACACGCATGCCATACATACGCTGGACGCAAGTGAAAAGTAAAGAAATAGGCCGACAAGGCTGAGGAGTTCTAAAAGGCTGAATGGGCTAAGAAAGCTGAGCGAGCTGAGGGAGCAAACGAAATCGGGCCTACGGAAATGGGAGTATAATATTCTCTCAACAACAACAGCAATAACATTTAGTGGTAACGCTAAAATGCATCCGAGCGCAGAAAAGCAGCGGAAAGTATCAGCGATTTGTTGCAAATGAGCAAATATAAGGCGCCGCGCGCACAGCGGGATATTAAACATAGCTGAGTTGAGGGATGTACTGATAGGTCAGTTAATGTACATAGCACTTAAGGTGGAAAAACTCTCTCAATTTGACAGAAAATATTTTTAATTAATTGAAATCTTTTGACAATTACCACATTGCTGCTACTACCCCTGACGCATAAATGGAGAAATGTAGAAAAATTCGATAGTTGGTCGCAATTTATTCAAACTTTACTCCTATAAAGATTACAATACCGTGGTTTCAAAAATTAAATCGGTTTTTTGTACCGGCTATACATTTTTTTAACCCGGGTTTTAAGCACCAGTTATTTTATTATGGTTATTTCAAAAATGAAATCAAATTTTTGGTATCGATTACAATTTTCGTAAAATACGGAGTGATCCCGCCCATTTTTTTTGTTAATGCATGAAGAACAAAAATTTAACAACTTATTGAACACATACAAAAAAAATTATTATTCTCAAGCAAAATATCAAATATTTTTGCTAAATAAGGAAGTTTCAAAAAATTTCAGTACTTATACATACATACATATGTACATATGTAGGTATGTACTATGTATAATAAGAGAATACTTGTACGTATACTATTTAAATGGAATAATAATAATCGTGAGAATAAACAAGCTATTTATATTTAAATGGGCATGACCACTCAGCTTTTACAAAAATTGGTATCGGGTACTTAAAACCCTGTTTTTTTTTTAATTGGTAACCGCTAAAAAAATATTTATTTAATTTTTAAATTCACTGTAAAATAATCCTTGTAGGAGTAAAATTTCAACAAACTACGAGCACTTGTATATTTTTTTGCATTTGTCCATTTGTGGTATGCCAGTGATAGAAGCGGCGATACGGTAATTGTCAATAGGTTTTGATTCATCAAAAATGTTTTATTCTGATTAAAATATTTTTCTGAAAAGCATGGTACCTTTTTTTTATCAAAATTGACTGGGCTGTAAAGAGCGAGCTTAACTACTTATAAATATTAAACACTTGGTGTGCACGCTTATCAGTTACCTCTCACACTTCAGCTTTAAGCTAACCGTGCGTGGGCGCCCTAAGGCGCGCATAACTCTCCTGCAGCGCCGTTCGTTCTCATGCTTAAAGCTTATTTATTGTGCACCAGCGGCGGTGTTAATTTCTCAACTGTGTATGTACCAATGTACCTTCAACATCTTGTGACCTTGTGCGGTGTGACGTCTTAGTCTCAGAGTAATGTCTTTAAACAAATTAAGTGTGCAATAAATTATATAAAGTAACTCCTAAACTACCTTATTTGTCTAAACTGAAAAAAACCAAAAAAAAAAACAATTTTGTAGAGAATTTTTTATATTTTTTTTCTTAGTTCAATTTACAATTTAAAAGTAACTTAAATATTTTTAATTATTATACTGTTTAATAAATTTTGTAACACATATCTACATACATACATTTATGCGCATACAAAATAATTTTTCTAATTATATTACATTTGTTGTTGTATAGAACAGAGTTTTTTTATTGCAAATCATTATAATTATTACTATTATGATTATTATGTAGCAGAAATGCTATTACAACATATACATATAACTACATATATAAATATGCTAGATAGAGCAATACCTATAAACAAAATGCGAAAGAAATATGCGAAAACAAAATTATAAACAACAAAAATTATTACATACCTAAATATGCGGTTAATTTTGTACAGAGTTTTTTGCTAGTGCATTGCAACATACATACATACAATATTCGTTTTTATTTTTAACATTAATAATTTTTTTATACTTTTTATACAAAAAAAAAACCAAAACAATGTTTGTAGTGATTATAAATTCTGATACTTTTTTATTGAGAATATATGTATAATAAAAAGTTTTCCACGTTACAGAAATTTAAACAAAAAAAAATTAAGGACTTTTTCATTTCGTTTGAGTTTCATGTTGTAATGCGAGTTGGAGGAGTTCTGTGGTGGAAAATGTGTATGTGGTTGCGTTGAAGTACTATTTGCTGATATATTTTTTGCCTTATAAAATATTGAGTTGAAAATCGCAAACTTTTTATCTAAAATTATAACCAAAGACGCTACTTATGCCGAAATTCTACTGGTCATGTCTTATGCAAATCTGAGGTAGTCTAAGCGACGCGCCGTAGTGGTCCTACTGCTAAAACACTGAATTAGTAAAAGAAAAAACCATACTCAGCTTACCTAAGTTAACCTCACTTTGCTGAAAATCCCAAAAAATTAAAAAAAAAAATGTTTACCAAATACATGACTTATACCAGATTTCCACCAGACATTAATTGCGAGCAAAAAAAAAATATCTAAACTTTCCTTAAAAAAAACACCCGCATTAAAAATAGACAAGCAGCGAAAAGTAACAACCGCAGCAGAAGAAACATAACCAGTTCACCCAACATAACCTCACTTCACTGCAAATACCGACATTGTTTGAAGAATGATTACAAAAAAACGGAGCACGCCGATTCCCACTTTTAAAATTTAGCAAAGCTCCTACTTAAACAAAAAGTATGTTGAAGTTACCAAGGCAACAAAAAGAACGCATTTGAGTAGAAGAATCGCACTAAGCTCACTTAACTTAGCGTCGCTTAAAACCCAACAATTTTTTCAAAAATGTTGGCTTATACTGGATTTCTACTAGGCATTAAATATCAAACATGGTAATTCAAAGTTGGGTGATATAAAACAGTATTCGCGTCGTTACTTTGGTTCTTTGAAATAATTGATTGAAAGATATTTTGTATTACTAAGGACAGTTGCTAACGCTTAATGCTCAAGATTCCTTCGACTTATGTACCTTACAAATTCTAAGAGCCTCATGCCTCATCGTCTTCAAGACCAATTCGGTGCATATTAAAACATAATCGGTCATGACGTGTTAGATAGTGCCCAAAATTTAAGAATGTCCTTCCTACCGAAAGAAATGGCCGTTGAGCCTATCCTACCTAAGGCCCTTACTGCACCCCAGTAATTCTTGCATTCTGAGTATACCACCTCAGTTACTAAGGGCCTTCGAAGTAGACCAATTGAGGCCGCTAACTGGTTCCGGTTCTTTGAAAGACAGTTTAGAATGCTTCTTATGCCAATTCGTCGGCGAACTGTTCCTGGGACTCCACAGTGGCTGAGTACCAAGCAAAGTGTTTTCGTATTTCTCGCTGTCAAAGGCTGAGTAGACACGCCTCTTTAACAAGCTAGGATTTTTTTATGATGTTCCCGAAAAAAATTTTATTTCGCAAAATTTATTACTTTCATAAAAATTAGTCATTCAATTCATTTCCACGTGGCATTTTTTAAACGACACAAAAGTTTTGTCGTTTTAATGCCTAGTGCAAATTCGCCATTATGTAGAAAATGTGCTCAACAAGTAGAAAATTGTTATAAAAATAATGTTAAATTTTTCATAAAATAACCTACATTTTGTTTCTACCATTACTAAATAGATCAATTTTAATTTTCAATTTGAATTTGGAATTGAAACTTTGACCACAATCGATCTCAATTTCGATACCAATTACTGGCAGGCTGCGCTTCACCGATCGATCGTTTCACTAAGGAAATTGTAGAGCTGAATTCATAAAATTTAGGCAAACTATTTTTCAAAATTTCGCCCAAAATGGGGCTCTAACGAAATTTCAGCTGATAGTTTTTACACTTTTTAACAATTCTACGACCTAGTTGAGCACCGCGTGGCAGTTAAAAATATTCCGAGTTTAATTGCATAATTTACGGCTCGTGGAAACACACTATTACTAAGAGTTCATACGACTGGTTCAATCGTAAGCTACTTTTTTTATAATTCACGTCAAGGTTATCGTGCATCTGAAGAAAGTTGTTTATATTCATACCATTCATTGCCATAATTGGTTGACTTCACGTTCGATGAGAAATCAGCAATCATTCAGTCAAGTTACATCTTTGCTCGAGAAATTCTAATATGACCCAGCAAGCATTAACAAGTAAAATTTTACCTAACCTTAAAACTAATCACCCATTTAATTTATTTTTTTAATTTTTTATGTTCTGAACCTAAACGTTGAGTTTACTAAAACTGGCAAAGTAACCTTTTATAAGAAAGTAACAAATTTTAGTAACGTCTAGTTCGTATTAACAAATCCCAATACATATACTTAAATGTTGATACTATCGCTATGCACATATAACCAAAAACCATCAGAACAAACCTAACCTAAAAATCGTAGCAAAATTAGAGACAACTGGTACAAACCTAAATGTTACGCTCAGCATTTGACTATGTCGAACATAGAAAAGTTTTCCTTTAACTAATTTGATGTTGTGAATTGAACTCAGTTAAATTTAGAAATCTCTAACAAACACTTAAAATACGCAAAGAAGTAACATAACCTAAAAAATAACGTTTCGCAACAAAAATTGAAGTTTTTATATATAAATGTGTTTGTTAAAATGGTACAAAACAAAAATTTAACGATTTCAACCCTCTTCAATTCTAACTAAACCCTAAAATATTTTAAATACTTATGAAGCCCCTGAAAACAAATTCAAAAAACAAAATAATAATCGTCTTCCAAGAGTTCCAATTTATTTAATTCAACGTTTATTATAAAATAATCGTTAAGTATAAAAGATATTATGAAATAGTTATTACCCTGAAAAATTTACCACCTTAAAAACGTGTCTTTCAAAAACTTTTACTCAAAGTGTTTATAACGATAAATTAAAAGAAACAGATTTATTAAAATTTTTAAGAAAAATTTCAATGTTAACGAGTAAAATCGAGATTTCACAACCATTAAATTTATTTATGCATACACAAACACATATTGTCAAAAAATGCATCGTTTCAATTATTTTGAATTAAAAGCTTTTTTAATCGATAACTTCTTCAACAACTTCTTCACTTAGTATTTCATTATACATGCGCCTACATCAGTGATGCCAAAAACAGCGCCCGCGGGCGGAACTCTTTAAAGCTCTCTGCAGATTTTATATGGACGCGCACACAATAAAAGCTCTCTCTGTGCAACACCTGACTTATAGCTCAGTTATGCATACTTTGCACTGCACTGCATAAAATGTCATTTTTACTTAGAAATCAAAAACCAACAGACTTCTAAATACATATGCAAAGCTGTGCGTTGGGAACGGCTTACACGCAAAGCCCGTTTAGCAGATTCCTTATGCGTCAACTCTGATGCACTGCCAAGTATGGATAACTCAACCTTTAAATTTCACTGTGAAAGTTTCAAGCTGTGTTAGACTAATTTCGGTTCAGTGTTTCTATTACGAGACTTTACAATATGTTTCAAAATAAATTAGAATCTTAAGCTCTCTTCATTAAACCTTAAAAACCTTAGGTGCCTGATCTTTGCCTAGATCTATGTACTTCTAAAATCTAAGCACTTCAACACTGTTGTATAACTAAGTTTTTGAATACTTTTAATTTGAAATTATCAGCTTTTTGAAT